TCTCCGTTTCTCAACAATTTCTTGAAATGGCTTACCCGCCAAAGTAACCAGCGGGATCCCTTTCCCCAGAGTTCGGGCAACAAGCGCTCTGGCTCACAATTGTTTCTTCATAAATTCACTTATCCTTTCATTTTATGAACCAGTAACTTTGTGTGTCGGTTTGTATGTAGGTATGTAAGTATGTATGTCTTGTTGATATCAATTGTTGTGTTCATTCCTGTTATAGTTTATCGTTAGGCTGTTGCTTTGTTGAGTTGGAAGCGATAAGATATATCTTATCGCTCTTACGTATCATATCAAATACCTTTATCTTATCGCGACTATAAATGTGGGGTGAGCTGGTGAGGGCAGTTTCAATCGACTTCAAGCGGCTCTTCAACTTCTACTATCACCTCGACTCCGGACCTCGCCAGCCAGCCCCACTCCTGCCTCGTCCAGTGTGCGGTATAAGGAGATAAAGACCTTGGTCGATCTGTGCTGGTTACACGCAGGAAGCCAACGAACCTACCGACCAAAACCTACTTGGGGGCCGAACCTTGCCCTCCCTATACTGCACTTGGAAGCGGAGTGGAGCTGCACTCTAGCTTTCTCTTGTAAACAGCTCTTGTGCCGCTAATCGCGGTGGAGCTGCAGAGCTACCGTGGGGTAGCAACACTAAGTCAGTTGGATAGCTATCCACTGTAAATCTTAGTGGGCGGGAAACCAGTTTTGCAAGGCAGAACTCTGCGCAAATTTTTTTTGCACAGTAGTTTCGCAAGCCCTTTCCCGGAGCTACTGCAAAAGCTCGACCTTGCAGGCTTAGGTAACTTGAGTTACGGTCAGCTTGCCAGAGCTTACCAGAAGGAACTACGATTCCAAAACAGGAAGAGAAGGAGCGTAGCAGAAAAACTGCCCAGCTTCCTTATTATCCTAGTAATCAATAGCTATCGTGGTAGTGAAACCGCAAAGCTTCCTAAGCCGAGTACACCGGAATATAAGCTGCTCTAAAACGTCGTGTTTTCGCGCAGTTCGGCATACCTTCGTCGTTGTTCATCGAAAGAGTGAGCACTGAATCCTCATAAAAACATATCTTTCAGAATGACAGACGATAACATTGACAAGGAACTCGAGAAAATGCTTGCCCTCGAAAGGGACGAGGATGCTCGTGTAGCAACCCTTCAGTCTCAGGTGACGATGCTAATGGAACAAGTCCAAGCTCTCACACAACAGGCAGCCCAGGTGAGATCCTCTACATCTATAGTACAAAAAGAGGTACAGGCGCTGCAATCACTCCCAGAAAGGCTGCAGGAAAGCCTGTGGAGTGGTAATAACACACGCGCAACAGAGAAGAACCGTGAAGAAGTAACCAAATTGATTTCGGAGCTTTTATCTAGTAGCTGCGAACTCATAAATAAAGAAGTTTCCAAAATGGATCAACTGATAGTCCAAATTTTGCAATGGAAGGACTACAGTTGGAAACAAATAATAGCTGAGCAAAAAGAATTCTACGCGCAAGCGCAACATGATGATCAGTGTATGCGAGAATTAGCGCGTTTGCTCCAGGTGGCTTCAACAGAAGTCGTCAACGCAGTAAAAAACTGTTTCGTCAAACGTAGTGGCGGCGATACAACTAGAGTAAATAGTAGAAACTATACTAGGAACGCTCAAGCTTACGAGCTGCCTGACGACTATGATAAACCACTGTTTCAGAGAGAACAACCAATGGAGTTCGACAGTCCGGGTACGGACACCGCCACCGACTTCAGGAAAGCCATAGAACAAGTGCGAGAGGGTCGCCACACGCATACGGCTGAGCTCGCAAGCTTCAACCTCGCGGACGCTGAGCGAGGTCAGTTCTACTCTATAAACACAAACAGTTATAAGAACTGTACCCCGGTATCACAAGAGAACAACTTCAAAATTGCTAACGATATAGCATTGCAGCCACTCGAATGCAGAAACAAGCCAACGACCGCAGCACCGACTCAGATCAGTCAAGGTGTGTTTCCCTCTCAATTCCAGCCAGAATTGAATGTAGGAGCAACTTTAGCGGCTATGGCGTTACCGGAGGTGCCACTTTTCTCTCATCCCCAAGGAAAGGGATTCGAAAACTTTGTAACCTCATTTTACATGAAGTATGGTAGACTAGGGTTACAAGACAATATGCTAATCCACTTGATGTGTTCAAAGTTACAAGGATACCCAAGAGCGGTAATGGAAACTCTACCCCGCAACGATCGGGAATCCAGTTACGCTAATTTCGTAGAAGCTTTACGAGCTAAATTGAAAGAAAATGACGTTGCTCGACGTACAGAGGCATACATAAAGCTAAAACAGCTTCGAAAACGCTCTTCCGTGACAGACTACTGTGTCGAACTAGAAGAACTAACTCAAAGGGTGTACCAAGATGCAAGTGACAAAGAGCTGTCCATGATCCGCGCAGGTGAGCTCATAACACAGCTTACGGAATGGAAGGAATACATACAGCTCTTCAGTACTTTAGAGCAGTCAAGACAAGAAGAAGCTTATGAAAAGCTCAAAAGTCTAGCGCAGTGTATTGAACGAAGCCGTCAAGTAGCTAACGCAGTGCGATTCTGTAATAAAACGAAATATGACAATCGTCCGACTGCTAGGCAGTTCGAAAACGAGGAAAAAGTTGTTTCGGAGTATGGCCTGCCACTAAGTAGCGGCAAAAGCCAATCAGCACAAGCAACCCAGAAACAAAGAGGTTACTTGCTCGTTTTGTAATAAACAAGGGCACTTCAGGAGAGATTGCTGGAAGGCTCAGGCCTGTCAGAAAAAGAAAGAGCAGCCTCTCGAACAAGCGCCGCCGCCCAGCAAATCCGAACCTGTGAAAGTGCATCCTTCAAGTCACGGTCAAAGAAAAGAAACCACAGAGGCGCAGATGTTTACTACCACCTTGAGTCGTTGGAACTGCAAGGAAATTCAAGCCAAATCGTCAGCATACAGTGAGCTCTTTGGCAAGCAAACTATCGCCAAGGTTGATCTTTTAGGCATGTCAAAACTTGCACTGTTGGATACAGGATCTCAAATCAGCATCATGCCACTTAGTATACTGCTTGAAGCGCAACAAGCAGGATTCGACATTGATAGTGATGTAGAAGAGGTGCCTGTACCAAATAAAAAAGCAATCTACGACGCCTCAGGAAACGAAATGGATTTCAAAGGCGCAATACGCCTCACAGTGAAGACGAAAAATATACCATCTCAAAAAGTGGCGATGTTCGTTAGAAAATCGGACGATAACATGATAGTCTTCGGAACAAATGCGCTAAAGCAGTTCAACCTGGCACTGAAAGGAAATCACAGCCGACAAAAAGTCATCCAGTCGAAGAAATCTCAAACTCCTCAGCAAAGCCACAAGAACAAAGAAGAAGGGCGGAAAACGGACGAAATCGACGCACGCCCAGCCGTTGTAGTTAGACGGGTATATATTCCGCCTGGAGAAACGAAATCGGTTGCCATATCCATACCAGAAATTAATCAAGACCAGATTCTGTGGTCTGACTGCGATGTAATTCCAGACACTGTTTGTCATTACAGCAGACCAGTAGTGGAAATACCAGTGACCAACACCCTACACCAAGCCAAAATATTTCGTGTAGGAGAAAAAGTAGGTAACTGGGACACAGAGACAGTTGTGGAGCAACCAGCTGCGGAGTACACAAATATGCTGGAGCGTACTTGTAGCGATGTCGTCGAACGTGAACGACATCTTTTGGAATTACTTTGCCATGGAAAGCGAAGCATAGAGAGCGAAGAACCGCTGAGGAAATTGGTGACAAAGTACAATGATGTCTTTGCAGTATCGGATCAAGAACTGACACAAACATCTCTTGTAAAACATGATATTGAAACAGGTCCTTCACCACCTATTCCGTCAGAAAGCACGACCAGTACCGCTAGGCACGCGACTGGAATTACGCAAAATATTGTCGGACTTGCAAGTGCGAAACATAATCGAACCCAGCGAATCCAGCTGGTCCTCACCAATAGTCCTCGTACAAAAAAAAGACGGATCGTTAAGATTGTGCGTTGACTATAGAAAACTCAATCAAATCACGAAAATACACAATTATCCGCTACCTGCCATAGACGTGATCTTGCAGAACCTCAAGGGCAAATCCTATTTTTCCACACTTGATCTCGCCTCTGGATACTGGCAAATAAAACTCACAGAAGAGGCGAAAGAAAAGAGTGCTTTCATCACCACAGAAGGTCTTTTCCAGTTCAAAGTGCTCCCTTTTGGTCTGGCCACCTCACCTGCAGTTTTCCAACGACTAATGCATTTAGTCTTGGGACATCTCCTGACAGACGAAGTCTTTTGCTACCTTGACGACATAATGATTGCGACAAGCACCTTTGAAAAGCACCTGGAGATGCTAGAAAAGGTCTTCGTCGCTCTGCGCAATGCACATCTCAAACTAAATCCTAGGAAATGCTCCCTAGTGGAAAGCACGATACAATTCCTCGGACATTCGACCAGGATGGGCTCCATATGGACCCACAGAAAGTTGCGGCAATTGTGCAGTATCCTGAGCCGCAGACAAGAGCTCAGATGCGTACCTTTCTTGGAATGTGTTCCTATTATCGGAAATTTGTCCTAGGTTTTTCCAAAGTTGCTGGCCCTCTTCACGAAATGACATCCGAAAAGAAACCCTATATCTGGACACAAGCAAGACGGAATGCTTTCAGCGAATTGAAGAAAATTATCACCAAAGCTCCTATTCTTGCACAACCAGACATTGAAGGAGCAAGAGATGGCAAGAAACCGTTTAAAATCCATACGGATGCCAGCTACTCTGGGCTAGGGCGCGGTGCTCAGTCAAGAAGGGGAAGATGGGTTCCTTCATCCAGTATTTTTCGCATCAAAAAGCCTTTCCGAAGAGCGAAATGAATTACCACATAACAGATCTTGAAGCTCTATCCGTGGTATTCGCATTAAGGAAGTTCCATATGTTTGTCTACGGGCTGAAAATAGAAGTCTTCACAGACCATCAGCCACTAACGGCGCTCTTTACAAGAACTAACGTCTCAGGTCGGATTCTCCGCTGGGCACTAGAAATTCAGAAATACAACATCAAAATCGTATACCTAAAAGGCGCGGCCAACAAAGTAGCTGACGCACTTAGCCGTGGTCCTGTAAATGATAACTCGCTTCTAGCATCCACAAAAGCTCTGTCCAATGCGAATATAGTAGCTACCATGACAGAAGAGCCAAGCTGGACTACAGAGTTACGTAAGGACAGCATCTATGGTGGCGTTATCGAAAAATTGAAGCAAAACCAATTAGAGGAAGACGTAATTTTTCCAGAACAAAACCGGAAATATAAAGTAGCAGACTTCGCCATGCACAATGGATACCTCACGTTCATCGATAACTACAGTTTTCGGAAGGTAGTCCCGAAGGAACATCGGAAGAGCGTTTTCTTAGACGCACATGCTTCGCTACTAGCAGGGCATTTTGGGCCACGGAAAGTGCTGAAGTCCTTGGAAAAGCGCGTGTTCTGGGAATCTATGCGGAGAGACGTGCTTCTTTGGTCGGAGGAGTGCAAAAAGTGCGTCTTATTTAACACAAAACCGCAAGTCACCCCTCCACTCAAACCAGTTATAACAACGAAACCGTTTGAAGTGGTGGGAATCGACATACTCGAAATGGGATTAACAACAAATGGCAACCGGTACATTCAGAGTGTGATAGACCATTTCACGAAGTTCGGAGGAGCATATCCATTACCCACAAAATCGGCTCAAGTCGTAGCTCGCACGCTCTTTGAGCGTTGGATGGCGGATGGGTGCCGCATTCCAGAATGTATACTATCAGATCAAGGTGGCGAGTTTGATAATAAGTTGATGACAGAACTCACACAGTTGATGGGAATCCGGCAAATATTCACCAAAGGATACAATCCGCGCGAAAACGGGCTAACCGAAAGGTTCAATAGAAGCATAATTGGGCTGCTGAGAAAGAAAGTGGATCTTCCGATGGAGTGGGATAAGCTTCTACCACATTGTATGGTTGCATACAATACTAGCCCATGATTCGACTGGCGAATCCCCGTTCTTTTTTATGCATGGATTTGACTGTAAAATACCGTGGGAATTCGGTGCCGGAGCAAGCTATAAGTGAATATATGGTAGACATCGATTCCTATATCAATGAATTAGTAGCGGGCTTGAAAGTGATCAGGGAGTCTGCGCGTGCTGAAAACCAGAGAGCGCGTGAACGCATGAAACGCTACTACGACGAGACTAAAAAGGTCGTCGAACGACCTTTTGCCGTAGGGGAGAGAGTGTATATGCGCATTCCCATGGAAAAGGGCACGTCTACCCATCCGAAAACTTGCAAATGAGTGGAATGGCCCCTTTAGAGTTATAGAGCTCAGTGATAATAGTGCGCTAATCACCCCTATTGCCGGTAATGCCGAGCCGCTAAAAGTGCAGTTTGATCTCCTGAGAAGGTTGCCAACAGGTGTTGATGATGAACCAGTTCAAACTGCTAAGCAAAGAAGAAAAAGGGGCAGGCCTAAGAAATGTGAAAGAATCCACTCTCAAAAGATCTGTTTCAGAGTCGACGTCGGACCGCCCCAGGAAGATCCGCTGCATCTCTTCCATCCGTGCACATGCAACATCTTCCGCACCAAGGCACAGACGGCTCTACCGAGTTTGCGCTCAGATCTAGCAAGATCGAAGCCAGTCAATAACATGTTCGAGCTCGCAAACGTCGCATCAATCGTGCTCGATCCGTTCTGGGGCGATCGACGCAAGGAAGAAGAACTACTTGCCAAGGAATCGAAACATCTCACTATCTTGGGACTCGCCCATGCGATTGCCGCTCATCGGTCTAGCTGTTATGCGTTCAATACAGCGCTCAGGAACGCTCAAGGGAAGCGCATTGTCCATCCGCCGTTGTTCCCGGCATTCCCAGGATACCATATAGACTCGTACTACGCACAGGCAATCGAACGCTTGGATCAGATTCCGAAGGATTACGACGACTCGCCTGCTAATCCGACGATTGTTGCTCTACCGCTGGCGTTTATCAGAGCGGAGAAGGATCTCGAGGAAGACGACAAAGTGAGCATTGAAGGTGTATTCCACATTTGATGGACTCGCGTCGCAGCTGAATGCACGCTCGATCTCCGCGGCTATCGTGTTAGTCTGGCCGAACGAAATGCCAGCAACCGTTCACCTCAATCACCTGATGCATGCACTGGAGCGTCATCTCCAGTGCGGAGGAACGCTCGACATGTACCCTCCACCATACGAGGAGCGACGATGCGAGATGTGGCACGCAGTCAAGAGGCTTTGTGCCGAGGTTGTGGAGGTGCTCACTGGACCCGCCCGCGGTTTCGACGCAAGGGTGGTTGATGCGTATGGAACGATCGACCAGTTGGTACCCCTCGGACACCCCGCCACGTGCCTCGGAGTTAGCCCGCGACGTGGCGATGACAAATTCCACACCTGGCAAATAGCAGTCTTCCTCAACCAGGTGCGGAAATTCGCTATGAGCACCCTTTCATTACCCGAATTCAGCCCCGCCAAGAAGAAATCCATCAATACGGACACAAACCATGATGCCAACAAGGACCAGCCACCGAAGAAGAAGCCAAGAATCGTCAAGCCACACGTCATGTATATTCGAGATGTCAAGGCCGAACGCAATCGTCACGCTCACCTAATGAAGCAGATAGGAAGAAAGAAGATAAAATGATCCAAGAAGCCGTCGGAGCCTGGCTTCCCAAGGGGAGGCGTGTTGATATCAATTGTTGTGTTCATTCCTGTTATAGTTTATCGTTAGGCTGTTGCTTTGTTGAGTTGGAAGCGATAAGATATATCTTATCGCTCTTACGTATCATATCAAATACCTTTATCTTATCGCGACTATAAATGTGGGGTGAGCTGGTGAGGGCAGTTTCAATCGACTTCAACCGGCTCTTCAACTTCTACTATCACCTCGACTCCGGACCTCGCCAGCCAGCCCCACTCCTGCCTCGTCCAGTGTGCGGTATAAGGAGATAAAGACCTTGGTCGATCTGTGCTGGTTACACGCAGGAAGCCAACGAACCTACCGACCAAAACCTACTATCAGTGA